TTTCAACATGCATGTTAACGCATAAAGGAAAAAATGTAGGAATTGCATCCTTACCTCACATTATTTGTGTTCCAAATTGCTTCACTGTTATTGTTGAAAAATGAAAAGAACGAAAATTGTGTAAAAAATGAAATGAAAAAGAAAATGCAGAAGAGTTAAAAGCAATATGTTAGAAGAAGAAGAAGAAGAAGAAGAAGAAGAAGAAGAAGAAGTGAAGACCAAATGGAAATTCCTAATTCATGACTTAAACAAAACCAAACATGGGACAAAACAGAAAACATTAAAAATGCACAAAGTGAGCATCGGATGGTTGTTTTTCTCACAATCTTGCTAGCTTCTACAATCACAAAGTACAAATTAGAAGAAATGGATTCTCATTAGAAACACAAGAATATTTAGAAACGTAAAGATTGAGAATCTGAACTTACAGTTAATCGGTGAGAGTCAAAGATGATCAAAGAGATCAAGAGGTACAGCAAATGTACTTTCATTGAAAATATAATAGTTGTGTTGAGGCTTCACAACAACCACCCATAGTATAAAATCACAAGGTATTTGAAATAGCAACCACGAGAAATCTAATGGAAGCAAAAATGATAAAATCCAAGAAAAGACAAATAAAACAAGTGCCACAAAGAACATAAAGATTTACGTGGTTCAGCCTTACCGCCTACATCCACAGGAGAGATAAAACTCGTTCTTCACTATTAAAGAAAACTGAGAAACAATACAAGTACTTTGTGGCTTGCATCCCAAACCAACCCTTAACCCTTRAACACCCATTCTTYGTTTCCTCTCAACCCAAAAAACAAAAATAAGAGRAAAAAACCCACTCACACTAAGAACACTCTGTATTTTTCTCTTACTTTCTCTCCAAAAAAGCCTTAACCCTACATATAAAAGAAAGCTTTTATATGTAAAACCTCTTTAAACTAAAGAGRGACCACACCAACTGTTAGATTAAAATTAATCCAACGTTTGTAAAATAAGATACAATCCCAATAATCTCCACCTTGGTTTATTTTTTAACCACCTTAGAGATATGCTATTTGTGCTTCTACTAACCTTCATTGGCCTTGTAAAATACCACCAGCTACACATAACATGAAAAATTTGGTCATGATTCCACCTGATTCAAACAAAACGTAACTGTACCCAAGCTAACAATCCTATTTAACTTTAGAGAGATACCTCGATCCTTCCTCTCTTCCAATAGGAATCTTACTCYCACCATCATCTATACCTTGGAAACTTGCAGCACCTGTCTCTACTCTATTTGCAAAAGAGACCCTCTGTGTGGCCACATTACCTTGCACAATCCATTTCCATCATCCCATCRAGGTCTTGGGAACCATTGTACTCCCAACCAAATGATAAAAACCCATGCATTTTTCTCCCTTCATTAGGACCATACCATAATGTGTGATTTTCATGGCTCCACCTGCAACAAAAACCATGCATCCCTTGGAGTCTAACTGGCTAAGTGATATTAGATTTTTGCACATTTTTGAGACATACACCACACCACCCAACGTGTGAACCACTCCATCAAACATTTTGATTTTCATTGTCCCAACACCCGTGATGTTACAYATAAATCCATCACCCAAGGAGACAACACTTGTCTTCTTCACTTGGAACGTGTCAAAATATTCCTTCCTATAGCAAATATGCATAGAAGTTAGAACATTCAAAATCTAAAACCCACTAATTTGAAGAAAAATTGCACATACCTTCGGAGATTATGAGAACGTCTCCATCATCATCAAATGCAATTGCCACTCTTTTGGATTCATCCCCACTCCTTTTCGTACAAGACAATATTTCTTCATATGACCAAATTCCTTGCATCTATAACATTGTATCTTGCCCTTTTCCCTAGCCTTGGATTTAAACTTGTTGCTCTTAAACCCCCTGTTAGACAACCTTCCTTTTCAATC